TTTTACCAGACTCCCCTTCATATTTTTGGAAAGAAAATGGCCGCGTCGCTTTTGCCAGACTCCACTTTATGTATTTTTCCCTCCCCTCTCCCCTTCATTTTTTCTTCGGTTCCTTTCTTGCTTACCTACCTTTCGTGTTCCCCCTCTCAAGTAGAAACTTGCCCAGATATCACTGATATCACTTGGTCAGGAGGGTTCACAAGGCTGTGACTACGGCAGAGAAGGCAATGGCACATGTTCAAAGCTCAGAGAGGACCCGACTGAGAACCAGACAAGTCATACAACAAGACCTTGGCATTTATGGATATGTTTGGTCTCGGACAATCCCAAGGTTCTCTGGACAGGTTCTTTTTGGCAAATGGTGATTGTCCGAAAGCAAAACAATGTTTATCCCAATTTGGGATATCAAAAATACCAAGAATATCCCAGTTTGATGTTTGTCTTCGCATCAAACTGGGCGCGTTTCGCTCAAGGCATTTGCAAAACGGGCTATGACGGTGAGACCTGCGCCAACACGGCGGAGTTCCACACCACGGAGCCCGGATCTCTGTCGGATGGCTCCCATGGTCCATGCTGGATCAGAGGATCAGATGACTAGGAACATCTATGGTACATAAATACATATATATATATATACATGGAAAATCACCATTTTTAATAGGTAAACCATCTATTTCTGTGGTGATTTTCCATGGCTATGTTAAATAACCAGATGGTATATATGACATCTATAGATATCTATAGTACCCATTTCAAGACTATGCCTTCAGTTTGCCGTAGTGAAAAATCCGAAAGTCAGTCTCCGAATGCACAACTCCACAGACCAGATTTATTTTTCGGTCTCTACAGATTTAATGGCAGACAAGGATCTGTGGTGTTTCAAGTCTCAACATACAGGTTTAGACTGTTTAGACTTTTGGCAACTTCTTCTTGAACCCACGAGGTGGAGTATGTGTGAAGGGCCGGAGAGCTCAGGGATTTGCTTCAAGAGCAGAAAATGCTGATTTTAGTCTGGATGACTGACCAGCCGCATTCAAAACAAAGACTTCAAGTCGAAGGAAACCATGCAAAATCATGGAAGACTATGCAAAATCATGCAGAATTTCTGTTTGGTGCGTCAGCTCACGCGGATTCTGTGAGGCCTTGTGGGGGCACTCCAAGCTTCAGGACAGTTAAAAATCCATGCCATCGAGTCGCCCAGCGAAATTCGGAGATTGACACTGCGAAGTTGCTAGGACGCGGCTGGTACGTTGCTACAATACAGGGTACGGAACCCTATTTGGGGAAGGCACAACTCTCATGGCAACCAGATGCAATCAGATTATATCGTTTTTTTGCCACATGAAAATGGCATGTATCTGTCCAAAGGAATTTGAGACTTTGGCAAAGTCTAATTAATATGTAGTCTGATCATTTTCATCAATTGTAATAAAACCATCATAAAACCATCATAAAACCATCATAGCCATCATTTATAGTCTGATCATTTATGGTTTATCTATACCAATCATCATGTAAAAATATGTAAAAATGATATATCGAGATATCGAGAAATCTGGAGGACGAATGGAGCTCCCAGCCCTTGAAATCTGCGTCGGACCAAGGTCTGGAGCACTCCTGGAGGATTCTCAATGCGCGGGAGAAAAGCCCTTGGAACGTGAGGCTCTCCTCAGCTTGATCAGCTGGCAGTCCACCTGTCACTGCAAAGATATTTGTTCAAATAGTTTTTATATGTTTTTATCAAGCAATATCCAACATATATCATCATGATATTCATGAATAGAATAAATCAAGCAGTATCCAGCATATATCCAGCATATAATATGCATTAATATCATCATGATTCAAGCATCATCAAGCATAAACCGTTGAATAACTTCTCAGCTGCACGACATCGCAGGCGTGCATTACGCCTCTTTGCAGCTGCACCGAGCCACCGCGGATCAACTACAGCAACTACCAGCAGACTGCCAGGGACCAATGGGACTGACAGGCTTCGAATTCCATTGACAGTTGGGATATGATTGGTATATGATTGGTATATACCTGTTTTATGAGTGGCATATGATTACTATATGATTGGTATATGATTGGTATATGATGGGTATATACCTGTTTTATGACTGGCATATGATTACTATATGATTGGTATATGATTGGTATATGATGGGTATATACCTGTTTTATGACTGGCATATGATTACTATATGATTGGTATATGATTGGTATATGATGGGTATATACCTGTTTTATGACTGGCATATGATTACTATATGATTGGTATATGATTGGTATATGATGGGTATATACCTGTTTTATGACTGGCATATGATTACTATATGATAGGTATATGATTGGTATATGATAGGTATATACCTGTTTTATGACTGGCATATGATTACTATATGATAGGTATATGATTGGTATATGATAGGTATATACCTGTTTTATGAGTGGCATATGATTACTATATGATAGGTATATGATTGGTATATGATAGGTATATACCTGTTTTATGAGTGGCATATGATTACTATATGATTGGTATATGATTGGTATATGATAGGTATATACCTGTTTTATGAGTGGCATATGATTACTATATGATAGGTATATGATTGGTATATGATAGGTATATACCTGTTTTATGAGTGGCATATGATTACTATATGATAGGTATATGATTGGTATATGATAGGTATATACCTGTTTTATGAGTGGCATATGATTACTATATGATAGGTATATGATTGGTATATGATTGGTATATACCTGTTTTATGAGTGGCATATGATTACTATATGATAGGTATATGATTGGTATATGATAGGTATATACCTGTTTTTTGAGTGGCATATGATTACTATATGATTGCTATATGATTGGTATATGATAGGTATATACCTGTTTTATGAGTGGCATATGATTACTATATGATGGGTATATACCTGTTTTATGAGTGGCATATGATTACTATATGATGGGTATATACCTGTTTTATGAGTGGCATATGATTACTATATGATTGCTATATGATTGGTATATGATGGGTATATACCTGTTTTATGAGTGGCATATGATTACTATATGATTGCTATATGATTGGTATATGATGGGTATATACCTGTTTTATGAGAGGTATATGATTACTATATGATAGGTATATACCTGTTTTATGAATGGCATATGATTACTATATGATTGGTATATACCTGTTTTATGAGTGGCATATGATTACTATATGATTGCTATATGATTGGTATATGATGGGTATATACCTTTGGGTGGCATATGATTACTATATGATAGGTATATACCTGTTTTATGAGTGGCATATGATTACTATATGATTGCTATATGATTGGTATATGATGGGTATATACCTGTTTTATGAGTGGCATATGATTACTATATGATTGCTATATGATTGGTATATGATGGGTATATACCTGTTTTATGAGAGGTATATGATTACTATATGATAGGTATATACCTGTTTTATGAATGGCATATGATTACTATATGATTGGTATATACCTGTTTTATGAGTGGCATATGATTACTATATGATTGCTATATGATTGGTATATGATGGGTATATACCTGTTTTATGAGTGGCATATGATTACTATATGATTTGTATATATACCTGTTTTATGAGTGGCATATGATTACTATATGATTGCTATATGATTGGTATATGATGGGTATATACCTGTTTTATGAGAGGTATATGATTACTATATGATTGGTATATACCTGTTTTATGAGTGGCATATGATTACTATATGATAGGTATATACCTGTTTTATGAGTGGCATATGATTACTATATGATTGGTATATACCTGTTTTATGAGTGGCATATGATTACTATATGATTGCTATATGATTGGTATATGATGGGTATATACTTGTTTTATGAGTGGCATATGATTACTATATGATTTGTATATATACCTGTTTTATGAGTGGCATATGATTACTATATGATTGCTATATGATTGGTATATGATGGGTATATACCTGTTTTATGAGTGGCATATGATTACTATATGATTGGTATATACCTGTTTTATGAGAGGTATATGATTGCTATATGCTTGCTATATGATTGGTATAGATGGGTATATACATGGTTTTATGAGTGGGCATATGATTACTATTGATTGGTAATACTGTTGTATGACGAAGGTATTGATAATATGATTGGCTATATGATTGGTATAGATGGGTATTATTACTGTTTTAGGAGTGCATATGATTACATTTATGTAGGTATATACCTGTTTTTGTAAAAGTGGCTATGATTACTATATGATTTGCTATATGATTGTATATGATAGGTATATAACTGTTTTATGAGTGGGCATAGATTAAATATGAGTGGGTATATACCTGTTTTTATGAGGGGCAGATCTTACTATATGATTTGGTATACCTGTTTTATGAGAGTATATGATTACTATATGATGCTATATAGTGGGTAGATGATGGGTATATTACCGGTTTTTACAGTGGGCATATGATTACTATATGTGATTGGGTATATCATGTTTTCTGAGAGGTATAGGATTAACTATATGATTGATATATGATTGGTTATCTGATGGGTATATATACCTGTTTTATGAGTGGCATATGATTACTATATGATTGGTATATACCTGTTTTATGAGAGGTATATGATTACTATATGATTGCTATATGATTGGTATATGATGGGTATATACCTGTTTTATGAGTGGCATATGATTACTATATGATTGGTATATACCTGTTTTATGAGAGGTATATGATTACTATATGATTGCTATATGATTGGTATATGATGGGTATATACCTGTTTTATGAGTGGCACATGATTACTATATGATTGGTATATACCTGTTTTTTGAGAGGTATATGATTACTATATGATTGCTATATGATTGGTATATGATGGGTATATACCTGTTTTATGAGTGGCATATGATTACTATATGATTGGTATATACCTGTTTTATGAGAGGTATATGATTGGTATATGATTGGTATATGATGGGTATATACCTGTTTTATGAGTGGCACATGATTACTATATGATTGGTATGTGATTGGTATATGATTGGTATTTGATTGCTATATGATTGCTATATGATTGGTATATGATGGGTATATACCTGTTTTATGAGTGGCATATGATTACTATATGATTGGTATATACCTGTTTTATGGGAGGTATATGATTACTATATGATTGCTATATAATTGGTATATGATTGGTATATACCTGTTTTATGAGTGGCATATGATTACTATATGATTGGTATATACCTGTTTTATGAGAGGTATATGATTACTATATGACTGGTATATGATTGGTATATGATGGGTATATACCTGTTTTATGAGTGGCATATGATTGGTATATGATTGGTATATACCTGTTTTATGAGAGGTATTTGATTACTATACGATTGCTATATGATTGGTATATGATGGGTATATACCTGTTTTATGAGTGGCACATGATTACTATATGATTGGTATGTGATTGGTATATGATTGGTATTTGATTGCTATATGATTGCTATATGATTGGTATATGATTGGTATATACCTGTTTTATGAGTGGCATATGATTACTATATGATTGGTATATACCTGTTTTATGAGAGGTATATGATTGCTATATGATTGGTATATGATTGGTATATGATGGGTATATACCTGTTTTATGAGTGGCATATGATTACTATATGATTGGTATATACCTGTTTTATGAGAGGTATATGATTACTATATGATTGCTATATGATTGGTATATACCTGTTTTATGATTGGTATATGCTTGCTATATGGTTGGTATATGATTGCTATATGATTGGTATATACCTGTTTTGTGATTGGTATATGATTGGTATGTGATTGGTATATGATTGGTATCTGATTGCTATATGATTGGTATATACCTGTTTTATGATTGGTATATGATTGGTATATGATTGGTATATGATTACTATATGATTGGTATATACCTGTTTTATGATTGGTATATGATTGGTATATGAGTGGTATATGATTGGTATATGACTGGTCTATGATTGGTATATACCTGTTTGATGAGTGGTATATGATTACTATATGATTGGTATATAACTGTTTTTGTGAGTGGTATATGATTGTTATAAGATTGGTATATACGCGTTTTATGATTGGTATATGATTGCTATATGATTGCTGCATGATTGGTATATACCTGTTTTATGAGAGGTATATGATTACTATATGACTGGTATATGATTGGTATATGATTGGTATATACCTGCTTTATGATTGGTATATGTTGCTACATTCATTCACAGAGCATGGGCATTCTGCAAGAAGCTTATGCCATTCTTTCACAATTGTTAACATACATTTGATACAAAGGGTCCCATGAGATCGAACAGTTTTTTCGAGGATGATACAGGGTGAGTTTTTTTCTTATCATTCCACGGTTGTCTACTTTTCTGTATGGAGGTTGCTATATTTATTGCGATGCTTACATAGATACTGTTATATACTGACACAAATATCATATATCGATATATATATATATAAATATCGATAAACGCACTTGTCAAGATGGCCCGGTTTCTCATGAACAGATGATGTTTCTACCCTTGATGCACCGCATCCTTTGTGCCCAGTTGCAACGCTGCCCATATCTTCAGAACGGCTCGGCACTCAGCTTGAGGGATCTCATGGGATTCCGACAAATTTTGCTGAACAAAGGGATGCTACTCGTAGTTTTTATAGCTGGTGGACTCGGTGTAGGTAAAGACAGCAAGACAGCTGTTTCAAGACACTGAATTCTTCAGTGATTTCTCCAAAGGTACAAAGATATACAAAGCCTGTTGTTTGCCTATCAAAGCTCAAAGCCTGGCCACGCACCTTTTGACAGGCAAAGAGTGCTACGCTGTTTGCGACACTGGCTATGCTCGAACTGGAGTCTACAAGTGTGAGTCCTCCAGGTGGAACAATCGGTTCTCTTGAGACTCAAAGGAGCTCCGACGTTGTCCGAAAAATGATTCAGAGACATTAAAACAGAGCTGGGCGAACGCATTTTCATCACGAGTCAGAAGTATACAGAAATATACACTTGTTTTTTTCGCGCACTGGAAAGAACCAGACCGGCTCTTCCGAATGTAGCTCTTTGATGTTTTTTTTCGAGACGGCTACGCCAGGTATGTGCAGTGGCCAATTTGCTTGCCAATTGGAGAAGTTGCACAGGTCCATGGGTTGATATGGGTTGGTTCTAAAATCATCTCAGCTCCAGCTGGAAGCAGCTGGAAGATCTGGCGCAGGAAAAGGTAGTGCTCCACAGCTATGTAACCTTGGCCGGCCCGGGCCCCGGGGGGCCCCGGGCCCACGACAAAAACCGAGCCGCTAAGCTTGCCATCCAAGGACAAGGGACAAGGCATTTTCGCAGCCGCAGCAGGTTTTGTTGACAAATTGTCTGAGGCATTGATCTCTCACTTGTGGTGAATGTCTCCAGCTGGTATGCCTCGATACGACCGTCCCTGCCGCAGCCTCTGAAACATGCGATCATATATGTATGACATACATATATATATATATAATACGTATATATATATATGTATGATCCAGCGGAACCAAGATGAATCTACCAGCTCAAGACCTGATACAAACCCAGTGTTTGGGATATAAGTGTTGTTGTTACTTCCTAATCAAATAATCGAAAGTGGTTCAGACTTCACCCCTTGGCAGATGTGCCATACACTCAGGAAGCAAGTCCTGGCAAGTTCAGTGGTGCCTTCTGGGACTGGTGAGACGGTCATAGTCTAAGTGCTGTGGTCTCGATGCGCCGATGCGCTGAAGTTGTTGGACATTTCTGGTGGACATTTGTGGACGGCGGTGGCGGTTCTGATGTGTTTTGACTTGTCATTTTCTTGTCATGTTCGGGACAGAACGCCAGATGGGAAGCCGAAAGTGTAGCTGCTGTATGGGATCCAGAGCATGGAATGTGTGGAATGTGTGGAATGACTGTTGGTTTAAACTCGCCCAGGTATCACCGCAGCAGGCACAGCTAATGGGACTTTCAATTTGAAGCTTCAAATTTCAATCGAACAAAAATTTCGACATTCAAAAACATTCGAAAGTTTGAATCTAGGTATCTGCAGTAACCTAAGATTCCCTAAGATCTAAGCTGAGTTTGGCCGGGTTCCACGAGAGAGCAAAGACCAGCTTCCGTGGTGCATTGCGACGCCAGTTCACCTTCTTTGATTGGTATGACGTGGTTTCACACTCAGAGCACTAGGACCTGCAAGAACCTGCAAGGATATATCGGATACAGCGTAAGTTGAATGCTAATAATAATATACAATAATGATAACAGCGCTTGCCTGGTTTCAACAATCTTCTGACAGATCAGCATTTTGAGCACGGTGGTGATATTCGGCTTTGCAGAATGGACGAAATGTATAAACCTCTGGAACCAAACCCTCTCCCAAAGGTTCGGTGCTGTGAAGCCCAAAGTAGGAGAAATGATTTGGTGATCTCTTTTTGAGACAAGGTGACTTCTCCCCAAATGGCCAGTGACATCAGTGACCCATATCCCTATTGACTAGTTCTAATTCTAATTGATTCTCAGGACTTATAACTGAGTTCTGTTTCTGATCCTAAAGAGTTATATGAGTTATGTATAGTTATGCGTACTTATAGTATCTTATAGTTGTGCGTGGGGTTATGTGTATAGTTATGTTTCCTGGTTGGGGATTACAACAAGATATCCCAACCTATGGGAAGCCCAAATCAACAGCCAGCTCTGTTTGCTCAGGATGTGGCTCTGCGTTTACGGCGCCTGGAAGGAGCCGGAAGGGTCCATGATTTTTTTGCGACATATCTGGGAGACTTTCCATGACATCCTGACTTTCTCCTGGCAAACTCAATGGCACTTCATCGTTTTTTCGGTGATGAAAACATACTTTTTCGATATTTTTTCCCAGGTTTTCCCCATGGTTTTCCCGTTGGTTTTCCCGTTGCTTTTCCCATGATCCGATGAGCTATGAATAGCTATGGTTAGTTATGGTTACGGTTTGATGGACCATGGCAGCCCAAAAAGTTCTGTTGTCCTGGTTTTTTCCACACACTCAGACTGCGATAGACACAGAACTCATAGAACTCACAGAATCGCTGGGCAGTGGCGTCGCCACGACGCACGTGGCGTGATGCCTGGCATCGCCTCGAAAGGAGAGAGCTGGCGCCGCTTTCTCCAACGAATGGTGCTTCTCTGAGGGATGATCCCCTCTGATCCCCCTCATCCAACGGTACCATTTTCGTTTCGTGTACCGACACCTGTTGCTGTTTCGTTCTTTAATGCTCTCGTTTCGATAGATCACCGTCCCGCAGCCGTTGGGTTTGAAGTATTTGAGGATTTGAATGGATTTGAGGATTTGAAGATATTTGAGGCCTAGCCGGCTTTGCCCACCATTCTATCCAATGGCAGATTTGGATGCAAAGGCCACAACTTTGGTGCTGAGGACTGATCTGGGTAGAGAACATACAACATACAATGTGACAAAATGTGACATACACATCACTGATCAAATGCTGATTCTTTGGCGAGGAGCACAAGCAAGCTGACCTACGATGGAGTTCTGCTGATGCTGTCAAAGATTTGCCAAGCACCTTGCCTGATTACAGTAGATTCCAGTGTGGAAGCAGAATATTCCAAACGGAGGTTATCAAAGTAACACTGTGCTGGCGTTCAACAAAAACATTACAACATCTTACAACAATCAACAACATAATCATGATTTATATGTTGTGTTTCTAAACAGACGTCACGGCGCCAGCTTTGCAAGACCTTAGGTCTTAATCAGTCTTAAGGTCGTGCGCTACAGTACAGCATGCTAAAGCTCTTAAATGTGCGACGTTTCATACAGCTTCCAGGGACCGTTCTACAATTACGTCTACCTGCCTTGGCCGAAGCTCGCTGTGGTGACTGGGAATTGAAAACCTGTGAGTCTCAGGTTTTTCATCAGGTTGTTCATTGCTTCATAAGCTGATGTCACTGTTGATGTCACTGTCGATGTCACTGTGTTGGTCCAAACGGGCGAATGAGTTCCGGTGCGAATCGCGAATCTGCCCTTGATTGTAACGGAGTGCTGGCATCTTTCATAAACCATCTCTTCGAGAGCAGTTCTGTGCCTCATCTTGTCTCCATGTTGTGGGTCCGTCCAGCTGCACCTGGTGTTTTTCCATGATGGAATAGACTGAAGTCATTAGGGAATGGAGAGGCAAATCTGAAATGCAGTGGAGGCTGGTGAAAACAAAAGATTAAACTCGCCGCACTGCATGCTTGCAGCAAGGTGAATTTCACTAGTCCTGAAGTATGTCGCGCGGCCTGTCGCATCATGACAATCCTGTCGTTACTCGTGTGGCAAAAGGTTCTTTGCTTGATTTTGCTTGCTACAAGTATACACAACCTGGGAAATTCCAAAGCCTCCTCAAGACTACGTGGTGATTCCTCGGGGGCTGAGGAAAGGGTGGGTTGTTTCTACACAGGACCCAAAAATGCACATGCCCCAGACGGGTACCGGCAGCTTGGACTTGGACATCGCGGGTCTTAAGGAAGATGGAAACATCTGGAATTCGCTACGTGAAACAGGCGGCGATTCAAGGCGCCGGCAAAGGATTTCATTGCGGCATTCGCACCACAGCACAGACACCCAAAGGAGAAAGTGGAGTGCCAAGTGTGTGCAAAGCGAGCCCTTCAGGTTTGAAGAATTAATAAATATATATATATATATATAGCGTGCAGATAGCTTCAGCTCACTGTGTCCCATGTCACCTGCGCAGGCTTGGCGGAAAATCTCAGCATCTTCTTGGCAAAGTCTGGATATCAGTCCATGATGGATCCAGGCCAGGAGGGACAGGACGGACAGGACTCACTAGGGGAGAATTCTTTGGAGAAAGAAAAAGCGGGTTCAAAATTTAAGGAGAATTACGTGGACAAAGATCACCAGGGATAGCATGCGCAAAATTTCAATACATGATCTTCAGTGTGTGTATTTGTATTATAATGTATTATATATATATATATATGTGTGTGTGTATGGTAGAGCTTCGCACACTGGCGAACGCGTGCGTGGCCTCGTTGGGCAGATAGCAAACAGGTTGCAGCACAAGATAGAATGTTGTGTGCATTATTGTTCTTGTTATTGTTCTTGTTCTTACCCTTGCAGCTTTTTTCTCAGTCTCGTAGTGACCAAATCGTCAAATAGATTCTGTCTTGGGCGTTTTTTTTGAAACACTCGGAGAGAAAAACACCGTAAATAATTCATGTTTTTTGCACCTCGGAAGCCCAAAACCACGGTATTTACGATGTTGTTTGCCTCTGGTAGCAAATCACCGTATTTACCGTGAGATGGCCAGTGCCTAGCAAAAACAATTGTATATACACAGTTTTCAGCATGTTGCAAGAAGTATTTTTTCCATACCAAAGGCACAAAAACATTGTAAATTACATTGTTTTGGCTCTCGACACGCACCAAAAAAACAGGAAAAATCCGCCATAAAGAGTTGGCTTACCGGGCGTGATCACAGGCTATTGCAGTGCTCATCCGTCATAGGGCAGATATCAACTTACACCAACGTGACCAAGCACCTCCGCTTCTCATCGCCACGCGGCTTCTGGATGCAGCCGTGGTTGAGCAACTGCTCCATGCACGTGCCGATGTTGCAGTCAAAGTGTACTGGCGCGATTGGCAAGACAGGTGCAGTGGCATCTGGAGCACGCCCTGGAATGGACTAACGGCTCTCCAGATTGCTGAAAAGATTCAAGCCTCTAACATTGCAGAACTTTTCCGGCTTGTCTTAGCCAAGTCTAGATCGATGGTCGACTCGGACCCTGCAGGTTCCATTTGCCCAAAATGGACCTTCCAAACCCTGCTTAGCAGCAAGACATTTTTATCTGTGTTCCGCGGCCCAAAAACGTGACACACGGCAGCATCGCCAGATTTAGGGGGCTGACGCCCAACAGCGGGCCAGCAGGCCAAAAGGTGCAGGGTGGGGTGGTGGCAGAGTCGTGGTTGCCGCTGCTGCTGCTGGTGGTGCTGGTGTCATTGTAACTGCCGCTGCTGCCGGTGCTGCTGCGTCCAGCTGCTTGCGCCGCTGTTGTTGTCGTCGTCGTCGTCGTCGTTGTTGTTGTTCTGTTGTTGCTGTTGTTGTTGCCGGTGCTGCGGTCGTTCTTGCCTGTCGTTGGTGTTGGTGTTGCGTTGTCGTTGTTGTTGCCGCCGCCGGTGTTGTTAGTGCTGTTGTTGTTGTGGTTGTGGTTGTGGTTGTGGTGGTTGTTGTTGTTGTTGTCGTCGTCGCTGTTGTTGCTGTTGTTGCTGTTGTTGCTGTTGTTGTTGCCGGTGCTGCGGTTGGTCTTGCCTGTCGTTGATGTTGGTGTTGTGTTGTTATTGTTGTTGCCGCTGCCGGTGTTGCCCGTGTTGTTAGTGTCGTTGTTGTCGTTGTCGTTGTTCGTTGTTGTTGTTGGTTGTTGTTGTTGGTTGTTGTTGGTTGTTGTTGTTGT